CTAGCAGCCTTTCTCCCTCACACTGCCCCTTTAGGTGGGGTCTATTTTGTGAAGATGTCCGTCTGGGTCCCTCCACAGGTGCCTAGATCTAGTCCACAGTTGGCTCCCAAATAGCCTTCTCGCTCCTCTTGAATGTCATATGCTCCTTTCATTCCAGCCCCACTGGATCTGCTTATTTGCCTCTCCCACCTTTCCTGTTCTCTGCCAGTTGAAACGTAATTCCCAGCTCATCTCAACACACCTTTCCCCATGAAGCTTTTCCTGAGTTATCTCTTCTTACAATGATTTTCCCAGTCTAAAGTCCTGAGCACCATAGTCTGTCCCCACCCTCCCCCCCGAAAAAGTCAGTTGTACCTAAGAATATCCTGGATGAAGCAATAAAAATGATTAATCTTATTAAATATTGACTCTTATATCTTAGGTATATATGATTTTAATGTTGTGTGTGAGTTAATAGGAAGTATGCATAAAGCCCTTCTGCGGCATACTGAAATACATGACTGCCTCAAGGAAAAAGCAATAGTATACTTGTCCTGTCCTGTGACCTGAATTAGTGGCTTTTTTCACTGAATATCACTTGCACTTGAAAGAACAACTGACAGAGAAACTATGGTTATACAGAGTTGAGTTGAGTTAGGCAAGATACTTTCTCAACAGTGAAAGAAGTTAGGCTGTCATTTCAAGGAAAACAAGTGACAGTGTCCATTGCCAATGATAAATTTAAAACAAAAACTAAAATTTGGGAAACCTTGCATCTGGCACCATGAATTTGACAACTTGTGGTGGTTAGGTAGATATGTCCCCACGTTCTTTGATCCAGTTCTCCTTAAGAGGTGGGGCTTAGTTTCCCACCCCTTGATTGTGGGCTGGACCATTTCTACTGAACAGAATATGGCTAAAGTGATGAGCTATCATATTGAGACTAGGTTATAAAATGACTGTGCTTCTGTCTTAGGTGAGCTCTTTTATAGTCATATTCCCTCTCTCTTTCTCTCTCTTTCTCTTTCATCAGTTATCTGGGACAAGCTGCCAGGATATGAGGTAGCCCTGGTAGAGGAAAGCCAACTGCTACATCTTGAGAACACTCAAGCAGCCTATGGAAAGGTCCATTTGGCAAAGAACTGAGGCTTGCAAGCAACCATGTGAGTAAACTTGGAAGTGGATCTTCTGAAGCCTGCCAAATGGTACATGAGTGAGTTTGGAAGTAGACTGTCTCTCAATTGAGCCTTAAAATGACTGCAGCCCAGCCAACAGCTTGACTGCAACCTCTTGAAAGACCCTGACCCTGAACCACCCAGCAAAGCCACTCTGGATTCCTGACCCACAGAAACTGTGAGACAGTAAAAACTTGTAGTTCTAAGTTGCTAAGTTTGGGTAATTTGCTATGCAATAATAGGTAATACTATAGCTTCCCCAAACTTAAAGACTTTTCTGATAAGAGCAATGGTAATATTAACAAAGGGTTTTGGGGGGATTGGAAGAGTGGGGGAGGACAAGGAGGCTGTTGTATGATGAAACATGTCAATGGAAGATCTACATAAATCAGAGGACCAATATTATCCAAATGATCAATGCATGATGTTAAAAAATCATGCATTATTAGAAGATCCGGTCAAAGTACAAGACAGACCAACAAATTTTAATGTAACAGTATATGATTTCTATGTTGCAACTAACCTTTGGGAAACTACCACTTACTGAAAGCTGGTGTAGGATCAAAGAAGACTATCCACACTAACCAGGAAAGAGTATTATATAGTATATGTGCTGCCAAAGTGAGGAAAGAATATTAAAATATTCCTTACTTTCACAACTACATTATCTGTCTAAAGGCTGGATTTTCTTCATGTATTTCAACCAAAAGGATGTACTGCAGCAGATTAGATTCAGAGGCAGATAGGAGAAACCAGATGTTTTCAATGAAACTAAACATTAGAGAGATTTGCAAAAATGAAAACAACATCACTCATCTCACTACAGGTTTTATTTTGAAAAAGTTATTTTTCATAGGAAGGATTGTTATTGTCATTTTTAAATGAGTTGTATTAGTTATATATTTTGTCACCAATTATGCCAAAATTTAGCAGCTTAACAGTATTTATTTATTATCTCACCTTGTTTGTGGGTCAGGAATCCACGTATAGCTTCTTTGGGTTCCTCTGGCTCAGGGTCTCTCACAAAGCTATATTCAAGGTATGAGCAGAGCTGCAGGCATCTTAAGGCTTGACTGGGGTAGGATCAGCTTCTCAGTTCACTTACATGGCTATGAACAGGACCCAGTTCCACAATGCAGTTGGCCAGACACATCAGTTCTTTGTCAGATGGGTCTCTCCACAGGAAAGTTACGTTACAACATGGCAGCTGGCTTCCCTCGGAGAGAGAGAGACTGAGAGAGAGTGAGGGGGCAATCAAGACACAAAACACAATCTTTCTGTAACCTAATCTTGAAAGTGGCATCCCATCATTTTGGCTGTGTTTTTTTTTTTTTTTTTAAAGTCAATAAATCCAGCCCACACTCAAGAGGAGGGGATTACACAAGGGCATGAATACCACAAGGTAGGATTCATTGGGGGCCATATTGAAGATTGCCTACCATATGAATTAATAAATATCTTATACATTTCTCAGTATTAATTTCTAATAAGTTATTATCAATAGATAAAATCAAATAAACAAGAGCTATTTGGGGTCCTCAGTAATTTGTAAGAGTGGAAACAAGTTTTAAGACTAAAAACTTAGAGAACTGCTCTTCTAGTAAGACAAATATTGGCTCTCCACATGGTAGAAATGCAGAGCATTATTCAAGAGTTGATAATTCATGTCTTACTTTTATTATCATTCATAACTATAAACTCTTTTCCCCAAAATGATAGTATTTATAATAGCATTATAAGATACACAAATGCATAGTGAAATATAGTAGCCTCTGTCACAAGTACATATATAGTAGGCATAGTATCAAGACTTATAAGTACTATACGTACTGTACATTTATCACGTATCTGAGAATACTTCATTTAAAAATTTCAACAGTACTTATTCAATATATTAAGTGCTTTGATTGTGAACACTTAATAATTGGTGATTTTATTATATTATTATTTTGTTCAGCAAATATTTGGGAAACCCTGGGCAAAGAATAGTATTAAAGTTAGAGATATATGAAGTTTCCAGCAAGAATTAATAATTTAAGCCAATATTCAGATGTGATTGCCATGACACAGAATTTAACAATAGAATGAATAAAGTACAAGACTTCAGGGTATGGAGAAAGGAAAGAAAGAAGGAAGACAAGACACGGAGAATAGCCAGAAATAAAATACAAAATTATCTTATGAAAGAAAAAGAAGGCTATGTTAAGGAATATGGGCTATTAATAGCATCAGATACTATAAAGGTCAAAAAGAATGAAGACTGAAAAAGGCTTAGATTTTAAAGGAGACTTTAAAGGAAATCCCCCAGAGGGCCAGAATGCAGATCTAAGTAGGAAGAAAGAAAGCTGAGACAATAAAGGGAAAAGAAAATTTTGGTTGGTAAAAAAAAAAGGTTGCAAGATCTAAGGAACAGGAGATCTAAATACACATCTTACTGTTTACTACTTTCAACACTGAACAATTTTATGGACAGCCTGTATTCTTTATGAAAACCAAGAAGTGCCAATTTTGAATTATATTTACCTGTTATATTTTTGAAACGAATGGCTTAATAAACTAAATTTTAGAGATTTTGCTTTGACTAAGAATTTTTCTATTTTTTTTTCTTGCCACTATGCCATAGGTACATCCTTGATTTTTTTTCCCCCTGTAGTAAGTGCTCCTAATATCTGGTTTGATCCTGGAGAAATTACAGTTACAAATATATACAATGACCATCTGTGATAAAGTCAGACAATTGCTAAGGTCAAACAAAATTTTGGAGATCTCTGTTTCAACTCCTTTACTTTACTGATTAATAAATTTGAGCCAAGGCATTGTAGTTCCTACAGGCAGCCAGACCAAGCCCGGCACTAATATCCCAGAATCTTCCAACTTTTAATCCTGGGGTACCTTACTGACATCACATTATGCTACATTACTTTCGATGATATTTTCCAAAATTATTACTGGTGTGATTTTTTTTTAAAGATTTTATTTATTTATTTTAAAAAGAGAGAGCGAGAGCATGCTCATGAGTGGGTGTGGGGGCTAGGGGCAGAGGGAGAGGGAGAAGCCGACTCCCTGCTGAGCACAATCCTGAGATCATGACCTGAGCGGCAGGCTGAGGTTTCACCCACTGAGCCACCCCGGTGCCCCTACTGGGGGGCAGAAACTTGATACTTTGGAAGAGAGCGTTTGAGGGTGAAGAAACCTCTGAACAAGGGATAGGGGCTTGGAAAAATTAAAAGCTGTTACCATTTAGGATTAAATTTTTCTGCTCCCTGGTACTATTCTTCGGCTTCCTAAAACCATCATCCCTTTTCTTCAAAATCATGTATGGCAGGACCTTGTCTCTTGGGCCTTCGTTTTCATCACAAATAAATCAACCCCATTCTGCATCATTTGCTCTTCTCCACAGGCAAAACTCCAAACCGCTAGGGCCAGAGGATCCCCAGGAGTGCAGTTCTCTGAACCGACATTTGGATTTCAGGTACCATGGCCCTAAGCTCGTCCAAAGTTGGGGAGTGAGTTGGAGATGCCAAGACTGCCCCTCTGGGCCTGCGCTACATCCGGGGCCTTAGAGAGGTTCTGACTACCACACACAGTACCACCCATACAATTCAGGAACCTCCCTGTGCCTGGAGCCCCGCGTCTGTCCCAGGCTCCAGCTGGCCACGCTCGGCCACGCGCATGACGTATCGACATCACACATTATGGCACGTGCCGCGGGGCCTGAGAGGACTAGCGCAGAGGCTTACGGTTAAACGTGTTTGGAAGTGGGAGTAGTTGGACCTTGGGCTGCTGGTCTTTCATTTCCGGGGGGGAGGCAGCTGGTGGAGGTGGAGGCGGAGGCTGAAGCCCAGAAGGCCAGGAGGGCCTTGGGGGAGATGCACTGGTAGTGGCCCAGTGCGGAGGGCAAGGAGGCAGCCTGCACGTGGCATCTGCACCTGCGCCTGCATGAAATGGACGCCAGCGCTCTCCAGACAGCACACTTCTGGGAGAGCCGCTGGAGGTGAGGACAGCCCCCAGGGCCATCAGCATCTCCTGGCAGCTGCCCCAGGCTAGCCTCTGCTGAGAGCAGCTCTGTTTAGGAAATGGATCTTTCATCTTTATGTTTTAAACTCAGTAAGGATGAAACTTGAATCAAGAGATTTTGAGTTTGGGCGAGATTACACCATTACCTTGAAAGTAAAATTTATGTAGAATATAAAGGTACTTAGTTTTTAAAAACGTACTGATTTTGCCCCCAAACACTAAGCAGTAACGTCGAAGTGATATACACACCTGATATCTCAGGTCCTTCTCATTTTCTCATGGGAGTTCTTCCTTGACATTTATAGTAACACAATCTTCTCTGTATACTATTTCCATTCCTAGTATAGCACTTATTAGTACATGGGATGACCTCATTTATCTGCTTGTTTTTTTATAGTATCTTCTTAATGCAAGGTCAAGGAGAGCTGTGATCCGGTCTGTTTTATTTATCATCTCCATTTTCTAACACAGTGCCTGATGTTTGTTGATTAGAGGAAATCTTTTATGACTCTTTGGCCACTCAAAGCTGGTGCCCTTCCTGTTGCTTGCAAGGAACAACATCCTATGTATGTCTGTCTTATTGCATTTATATTTTATTGTAATTGTCCCTGCATATGTCTGTGTTATACTGTGTGCTCCTTTATTTAGAACAAGGACTTTTATTGTTCATTTTTGTATCTCATGTGCCTGGCATGCAATGAACACTCAGATTTTGATTGCAAAAGTGAAAGCTATCCATAATAGAATTTCTGATCATCTGTATCTTTTCTAAACTTCTTAGACTATCTCAGAATATTTCTCCTCTTGATGGTATTTTTGCCCTGATATTGAAAGCCACGCACTCTGACTAAAAAAGGGAATATGTGTGGTGAAAGAATTCAAAATTTGGAAAAGAGAATCTAGATAAGAGTTTTTGTTCTGCCATTTGCTGACTTGGAGATACTCTAAATTTTTCAGAGCCTGGCTTATCATTTGTAGATAGAGATAATAATACTTATATATGGTCTATGTAACCATTCTGTTTCTTTGCATAGAATCAAAAATAAAATCTAGCTTTAATAAACCTCTTTAAAAGAAAAACAAAGAATTCTCTACTTTCCCATCCTCTGCCTACATAACATATATTAGACATATTTAGTTTTTAGTTTTATTGAAAGTTATTCATGTAAAAAATGAGTAAAAGCCATAAATTAGGCAGGTATGATTTAAATCTTTGGTCAGAAAGACTTTATTTTAAATAAAGGGCATTATTATTTATATAAATGTTATATATAATCTTCATAATTTAGGACTATAAGCAATTTATTAGTCTTTTAACACGTAAGAATTATTTGTGTATAAAATAGCTTAGAAATACTTAAGGGGATTGCTTGGTACTGGCTGAAAATAAATGTAGTCTCATGGTGAGCTTAGATAAATTCACACTTGGTGAATTAAGGCTTGTCTGGGCTCCACTTCAAAGAGGTGTGATCAACTTGCTAATAAAGTGTTGGGTCAAAATAAAGAGTGGGTTGCATCATTTACTGTATTCATTTTTGGCATTGTTGAAGGAACATAATTTTCTTTTTTATAATTATATAGAGTTACATGGAATAACTAGTTATCTTTTCATTATGCTTGAACATTATTGGTTTGACCAGAGAGATCTTACATAAGTATGTGTACATTCTATGACCCTAAGGGAAGGGACCAAAATACACAATCTGTATTGGTTCCTGAAAAGGTTACTGCAGAAGTAGATAAATCTAAGACTTCCAACCAAAGGCCATAAAAAACATGGATTGTGAATACTTAAATGTATTTAATATGTATTTCTTTGCTTTTCTTGACATGCTTCAATTAAGACTGCCTGTTTCCAAGGTGGAAGAATCTATCAGAAGATATGCAGCTCCTCAGAAACCCTTACTGGACAGTGATGACTACAAATTTGATGAGCGATATGTAAGAAAAGATTGATTTTAGTTTAAAACATAGATTTATAACAAAATTTTCAAAGGCTGAAATAAGATCTGCTTTTCAGAATATGTTATATCATATATAATTCTATATATATATAGAATTCATAATATGTATGTTATATATAATTCAGAACATGTTATATATAATTCTTTCAATTGTTATAAAGAATGTAGTTGTGAAACATTCACCCTAAATCTAAGCAAGTTACTGGTGAAAGCGATGGCTTTTCTTGGTTCATAGAAAATAGCAATATGTAGTATGATTCTGTTCCACTGTATGCAAGCTCCAACAGAGTAAGGGTTTTTGTCTGTTTTGTTCTCCCAGTGCTAAACAGTGGTAGCACATAGTATGTGCTCAGTAAATAGTGAATGAGTGACAGAACTTCCCTTCCTGTTATTACTGGAATAGCTCTTGATGATAATTTTTTCACAAAAGTTGTTACAGCAATTTGCTCATCAGGTTATTTCATTTTATTGTTTTTATTAAATATTGAGAAATCATATTTATAAATTGTAAGATATAAATAATTATAGTACATTGATATTTGTACACATGATTAAGTTTTAGAAAAAGTACATTACCATTACCTTTGCAACTGTCATGTGCCCTTGGTCCAATCCTATGTCTTCGTGTCCCACCCTATTCTGAATTTTATGTTTATTGTTCCCTTTCTTTTTCTTTATAGTTTTACCACACTTATGTGTGCTCCTAATATATTACTGAATTTTGATTATTTCCAAACTTTACATAAATGAAATCATACTGTGTTTTTTTCTGTATCTTTTCCTCATTCAAAATTATTACATTCCTAAGATTTACTCATGATGTTGCATGTAGCGATAATTTATTCATTTTTACTGCTGTATAGTAACTATTATGGATATATAATTTATTTATTAATTCTGTAGTTAATAGATGTTGGAGTTGCTTACACTTTCTTTAATCTACAATTAGTGCAGCAGTGAACATTCTAGTGCATGTTTCTGGTGTTAGTAGGGATATTGCCAGAATTGGAATTGGTGGTCACAGCTATGCCTGTCTTCAGTTGTACTTAATAATACTGTTCTTCAAAGAAGGCATGCCAGTTTATGTTCTTATTACCACTATATGAGAATTTCTGAGCTCCACATCCTTGCTAGTACTTGATACAATATGAAAGAAATGAGAAATGCAAGGAAAACTTGACAAGAATAGAATTTATAGAGGATTTTAACACTTGTTTTTTAGTAATATGGTTAATAGGCAAAAATTAATAGGCTGTATAAGAATTGAATAATAGCACCTGGGTGGCTCAGTCATTCAGCATCTGACTTCGGCTCAGGTCATGATCCCAGGGTCCTGGGATCGAGTCCCACTTCAGGCTCCCTGCTCCGTGGGAAACCTGCTTCTCCCTCTCCCACTCCCCCTGCTTGTGTTCCCTCTCTCACTGTGTCTCTCTCTGTCAAATAAATAAATAAAATCTTTAAAAAAAAAGAATTGAATAATATCAATAAACTCAGGTTTTTTGGTAATGTAAATGCATTTTTACATTTTTTGATTAAAGACTATATGTTTCCTTTTTATGATTTAGGACATTTATAAAAATTTGTCACATAGTTGGTCACAAAAGAAACCTTAAAATCAGGAAAGTAAAGACTTTATAGACCATATTCTTTGATCTAAAAGCCAATCAAGTAGAAAGAAATAATACTAGAGTATCACATCTTAATTACTGGGGGGTACCTGAGTGGCTCAGTCGGTTAAGTGTCCAACTCTTGAACTCAGCTCAGGTCTTGATCTCAGGGTCATGAGTTCAAGACCTGCTTTGCACTCCACACTGGGCATGGAACCTACTTAAAAAAAAAAACTTAATTACTTGAAAATTATAAAACATAATTAAAATTGTTCTTGGAGCAAGGAGGAAATCAAAAGAATCGTTGAAATCTCTTCTTTCAAAAATGTATGGGATAGGGGCGCCTGGGTGGCTAAGTCATTAAGTGTCTGCCTTCGGCTCAGGTCATGATCCCAGGATCCTGGGATCGAGCCCCACATCGGGCTCCCTGCTTAGCAGAAAGTCTGCTTCTCTTTCTCCCACTCCCCCTGCTTGTGTTCCTTCTCTCGCTGTGTCTCTCTCTGTCAAATAAATAAATAAAATCTTTAAAAAAAATGTACGGGATAAAGTAAAAGATCTATTCAGAGTACTTTCATTATTGAAGAAGACTAAAAATATGGAAATTTTGTACTTCTTTCAGAATATGAATTAAAGACAAAAGAGAAAGAAAAATATGTAAGATTAGAAATAATATAGACACAGAAGATTAAAGTAATTACATGCAGCTCTGTGACATCATATTTGAAAATCTTGTATAATAGGATTTCCTAATGAAAGAAATTATTAAAACTGCCCAAGAAAAAGACAATTTTAATATACAAATTAACATATATGAAATATAACAGTTGGTAAACTGAATTTTTAAAAAATAATCAAGACCAAATAGTTTCACAACTGAGTTCTAGCTATCATTAAAAAAAAGGGGGGGATTTTACTGTTTGTAAATTATACCTCTGTTTTGAAAAAGGAATAACAAATAATATTGATGTTATTGTTCCAGACACCTCTGAAAGATGCAAGCCTTTTCAATTCCTGGTCACATAATTTTATATTTCATATAATTCATAGTCACAGATTTTAGTACTAACCTGTTAAGTACACAAAAGAAAGCGATGGACAAATCTCACTTAGGAATATAGTTGCAAAAATTGTAAATGAAATATTAGCAAATGACTCTAGCAAAATATCAAAGAAATAATATGCTGTGAACAAGCACACATTCTTTTCCAGGAATGCAAAGATGATTCCAATATCAGGACAGCTAATAAAGAATTTTTTTTTAAGATTTTTTATTTATTTTTTGACAGAGAAAGACACAGCGAGAGAGGGAACACAAGCAGGGGGAGTGGGAGAGGGAGAACAGGCTTCCCGCTGAGCAGGGAGCCCCATGCGTGGCTGGATCCCAGGATTCTGGGATCATGAGCCTGAGCTGAAGGCAGACAGTTAACGACTGAGCCACCCAGGCGCCCCAATACAGAATTTCTTATATCAACACATTGCAGGGGGGAAAGTGATCATACCCATAGATTATGAAATGGAAGTTGATAAAATTCAACAACCATTCCCAAACTGGAATTGGCATAGAAATATGATAAAGATTGTTTAGAATGACACTTGCTGTTGGTTTTTTGGTAAGCAGTAAAATATTAAAGATGTTTTAATTGAAATCAGGAACAAGATAGGTGTCCCTTCCATAGTCATTGTTACTCAGCATTATTTTTGGAAGTCCTAGTGAATGCAGTTAAATAAGATAATAAAATAATTGGTATGGACACGGAAAAAGAAAGATAAAATTATTTTTTCCCCCTTGATGACAGTGAATACATGGAAAATCTAAGAGATTAGTGGAAAAACCAAGCTGGGACGGGGATGAGGAACACCACTAGAAATAATAGAATGAAAAAGAAGGTAGCAGAGACTTTCCTTAACAGAAAATAAAACATACTATAAAGTCACTTTCATCAAGTAAGTGTTATAATGACCTATAAATAGACATATCAGTGGACCAGAATAGAAAGTCCAGAAATAGTTCCCAATATATGTGTGTGTGGTAGTAGTGATATTTCATATCAATGAGAACAATAGTTTATTTATTCAGTAGGACTTAAATAATTGGATATTCAAATGGAAGGAAACAACAAACTATTAAAAATGAAGCATAGATGGATTAAAAAATTTTTTAATTAATTTTTAAAGAAAGAAAACAAGAAAATTTGGGAGACTATGTCTAACATAGGGCCTGGAAAAACTTCATTAACAGGAAAACCATATGTTTTATAAAGAAGGATAGTTCTATTTGACTCTATGAATATTTAAAAATAAAAAATCCTTTCTTGAATATAAATTTTATTTTTTAAGGTAACTTACTTTTAATTTATAAAAGTGTTAGATTTTCACTGCAGTTCAAGAAGCACTAATTTAGGTTGTGGATTGCCTGTATTTCTGAGAAACTAGAAGATAGATTTAAAGTTAAAGTTGGAACATTTTTGACTATAGTATGTCATAGAAGATATATACTTAAATTTGCATATATTAGGAGACACATAATATCTGTTCATCCCATAAATAATGATGCTGTATTGACCACTAGGTTAGTATGATAATGGCTGATCGTTCCATGAGACCAGTAGGAGTCCCTTTAAGCTGGATTCTGTTTTCTTTGAATAGGATCACATTAATCTTCAAAAACTTCCTTCCTTTAGCTTAATATCTCCCTGGTTCGCCTTGTACTTCTCCTGCCCCAGACCTGATATCAGCTGTTTCTTCAAGAAGTCCTAGTTCATTGTAGTGAAGAATGATATTAAAGCCTAGATTCTAGGTACTAGGAGTGTTCTTTTCTACTGGATTGGCAGTGTTTCCAGCCATTCCAGTCCGTACACCTAGAAAAAAATGCATTTTTAAAAATCATTTTCAATTCTGTTTACCATTACAATGTTTTACTTTGTTCTTTAATTTTCTGATGAGGTCTATTATTTTTTCTTATACTGAAATTCTTTTTTTTTAAAGATTTTATTTATTCATTTGAGACAGAGAGAGACAGAGAGAGCACAAGCAGAGGGAGAGGCAGAAGGAGAAGCAGACTCCCCCTGAGCTGGAAGCCCAGACTGTGGGGCTCCATCCCAGGACCTGGAGATCGTGACCCGAGCCAAATGCAGACGCTTAACCATCTGAGCCACCCAGCACCCCTATACTGAAATTCTTGATTCTTAATGTTATTAACTCAAAAATGTGTTTATCCTGCACTATAAGGAAAATAATTTCAAATAACAAAACCAATAACAATACTACAAGAAAATGACTGAATGAAATTTAAAATGTCCTTTTAGTTCTTGTCCTTGCAATGTTCTGGACTGTGTTCTAAAGTCACTGGAAATAAATCATTTCTACGTGT